AGTACCATGACCTAACCTGGGCAAAAATAATGAGCGAACAGAATCTCAACAACACAATCATCGAATTCGCCAAACAACAATTGGACAAAATGTACAAATTCATCGAAAATATTGTTGTAAAGAATGTTACCAGTTTTATGGAGATAATGGATCTTCTCTCCGGGGACATGTGGGACGCAAACATTTGCCGATCGCATTGCAAAGATGCCCGGTACCGACGTCTACAATTACGTTTTTGTTCACAAAACGGTAAATAACAGTTTCCCCAACTGGACAGGCGCTATGCACGGCTACGAAATTAAATACCTCTTCGGAATGTCATTTTCCGAGAAATGGCTGAATGAGTTTTCTAATTACACATATAACGAGACCAAGACGAGTCTATTTGTAATGAAAATATGGGCAAATTTCGCTCGAGTCGGGTAAGCTTTCGACTTATGCGGTACCTGATGTGGAATAAGACTAACAACTTAATTTTATCTAACGTTCCTCACCCTTCTATTTTCAGAGATCCGAGCAGACATGAATTTATACCCCCAATGTCCTCCACCTGGCCGAAATATGAGGTAAACTCGCGAAAATACATGGAAATAGGTCTGGATTTTAAAGTCAAACAGCATCGTCGCAAGGAGTTCTGCAAGTTCTGGAATGACGAGCTATCAACATTTGTCCGAGACAAAGTGGCTCAGGAAGGCAGGCCAGCAAATGCGTGTCTGAGCATAGAGCCCTACTTCAATCAGCATCGAAAACTGTTTAAATTTATCAATGCAACTAAGGACAATGATACCGAGACCGACTAATTTCTGTGACAGTCATACCGGTAAGGTTTGATGGTTAAGGAAATAAAGGAATTAAAAACATGTTCTCTTTTGATTTAAACAAAAAGCAAAACATGAATTATTGCGGGAAACAGCACACAGGAAAGCACACGTGGGTTCAGGTCACTTGAGGCTAAAGCTTCACTAGGATCCTATGCATGCAACAGGGCTTAATTGGTAGACCATTTGGCAAAATGGCTAGTAGCTAAAAGCGTAGATGATTGTTTCCCTGCAAGGGGAGATAAAAGTCAGTCTGTAAGTAATTTTACTTAAATAACGGCAATATGTTGAACGCATTTTGACTAAGGGAATATTCTTCGATAAAAAGAAGGCGGAAAGGTTATATATTCAAACTAGTGAAAGAGGAAAGATGTTTGTAACAATCCTGCAGTTAGTTGTACTGGCAGTGGCCGTTTGAATCTTCTAATCTCCTAAAAACACCAAATAGGAGGCTGGAGGATCAAGAGGGGACGTTAAAGTGGTAGATCGGTTGGTAGTAGAAACGTCAGTCTACAGTACCTTTGGCCCAGGTATAGAGGCTTATTCTCCCAGATGAGTATGCAAAGTGCCAGCCTGTTACTTTCGTGGTATTCGTTTAGGGTAAGGCGTATCATTTACATTTAGCTGCCCCTGTAGCATTTGAAATAAATGGGTCCCCTTTACTGCCTTCCTGTCTTAAAGTTGGACTGGCAAGTTCTACGTTTGCTCACGGAGACATGCTCAATTGTGTCATGCTGGCATATTGACACCTGTGCCTCACATGCTTCAGAAAATTACTTATACAGTAGTCGCCGGTTATATAGCCCACCGTTAATAAGCCCAGCCGCTTATTAAGCCCAATTTTGTCTGGGCCCGAGGTTGGCTTAATAAGCGGCGACTACTGCATTAAGCCCACGGTTAATAGGTCCAGCCGCTTATTAAGCCCAATTTGGTCTGGGCCCTAGGTGGGCTTTATAAACAGCGACAACTGTATATGAATAGAAGGCGGACAGCGTTTTCTGGGACCATTTTTTTTATTTGCTCGACGTTTCGAACTCTCACTCTAGCTCATTGTCAAGGAATACTGTCAAGGAATACTGGTCCAAAGAAAGATTTTCCGCCTTCTTTTCAAGTACTTTAGCCTCACATATTTTTGATCATTGATATATAGATGAGAATATGTGCTTCGCCGATCTGATAAAGGAAAAAATTAAGTTCCGCTTTGCCTAGGAGCTTAAAATTGGAACGCGTGCAGGTAGCCACATAGTGAAAACAATGAGAGGACTGCGTAAATTTCGTGACCACATTTCACTTTGCATGTTAGCATATATTTGGTCACAGTATTTTGATTGATTGAGCTGATTTAATTCTGTGAAAGCCTTTGAATTAGGAAAATCACCACATTCAGTTAGGTTTACTAAGATAGATGGGTGGTAATTTTAGCGAAATTGGGAGTAGTCTCATATGAAAAGACTATCCTATACTATTACGTACGATAGAACCAAACTTCTTATTAATGTGGATAGTACTAGGGAGCAAATCGAAAATAAGTAAAAAGAGGTATAGAATATACCCTTGAAGAACTGGAAAATGTTGTCCGAAATTGTTCATATGCATGTGAAGCCAAGGTGAAGGAATCGCATTTATTTTTGGAAACGGGGAAAATTTATGTTTTAGAAATGATATTTAGCTAATCTGTAAAGTTTCTTTCCACAAAATCCAGTAACAAAAACCTTTTCACCGCATTATGTTTTACCGCACCCCTTTGTTTGGTAATGCAAAGTAGGCCTTATTGAATGTAAGTTAGGTATAAATTAAGCTTTTTGCAAATGAAACGTTCAGTTTATGCGTTATTTAGAGACACAACAGACATAATAATAATTTTTTTAAAAAATGGCCATATATGGCCACTCTTTTTGCATTCGGAAGCTTATAACAGATACTGGAAGTAATCCTATAGATGTTAAGGCGAAGACGGTTAACCCTAACAGCTATAATCTTCGAGGCCCTGTTCCTTAGGATATGGGAGAAGTCTTGGGAAGGCAGAGTAGACGAAACAGTGTATTTTTTACAGAAGAGTTAGGGGGAAAGTTGCCAATAGGTCTTGCATGGCGTCCGACCATGAGGCCAGTGGGACAGAGCGGCGTCACCGCAACCGCGACGCGCAGAGACGGAATTCCAAGTGTCGCCGGCCCCAGCCACCAACTTGAGGTCCTGTGTGAGTAGGCCTGTGACTGGTTGCCTTGCGCGAGATTAAGCCGTGTGTGTCAGTAGATGGCCAGGGGTCGGCCATCACGGTAATCGTAGCGTTGGCGTGATGAGTGAACGGTGGCGTTAAGGTCCACTACAATCCGTTCTAAAACAAAATTAAGTTATTTAATGTGCAATCAAATTGAATCGTTTATCTTCGGGTTTATTAACAAAATTGTCAAAAGTATCTAATTTTATTGTGACATTGCCTTGGCAAAAGTTAATATACACAGAAATGCGTCAGTTGGGTATACGAGTTAAGCACATTTTATTGAAGTAACATATTGCAGAAAGTTTCTTTATTACTCGTAGGAAAAACCATATCCCAGTTATCTTGCGGACGTTTCGTATGCTCGACAATGTGGTCTGCTGCTTTAAGGCATTTAAAATATGATCCACATGTCCATCTTCATAAGAAGTAATATCCGAAAACTCATTTTTACGGCAAATGCTCTTGCTGCTTATCTTATTTAAAGGTTACGATGTAAACACTGAACAGAAAATCGATGGATGTATGAGGAAACGATGACACTAAAAACGCAGGAACTCATTCCACAATATTGATGACAATCTGACAAGGACCTGAACGGACTAAGGCCGGTTGGTAATACAATACCAAAAATGTATGGACTCGCTAAAATTCACGAACGAGGTGGGCCACACCGTCCTATCTTGGACATGAGAAATTCACCGTACGACGCTGGGACAAAATGGCTTGTCGAAAAGTTAAAGCCACTTCGGAGCCGCTTGTACCCAAGAAGCCAGAAAAACAGGGTTGAATTCGTCAAGACTATCAGGGATATTAACATTAACGAAACGATTATGCTGTTATTAAATGTATCCTCACTGCCAATAGAGGAGAAAATACGAGTTTCAGGTAGCAGTTCAGAAGAAGAAGATGCGATCACTGGAACAAGGACCTTATTTTCCTGACGT